ACTGAATTTACAAAATTGATAAATCATATTTGTGAGCACACAGCCTTTCTTGTTAATACACAGTTTGTGTCTTGGACTCTCCCATTTTGCATGGGTATCCCAGCTTGAATTCCAGGGAGTTCTGCCTCCCTCAGTCACTCTATAGGGTTTCTTTTGGCTCTAGCAGCATTCCTTCCTTCCTGATCTGCACTGCTGCTCATGCTGTCCCAGTTGTAATCCACCATATGGCTGTGCTTAATCATTACCTTGGTTGGGTGACCTTAAATATCGCTTGGGATTCCTAGCAGGAAAGGTTTTGCAGAAATGTGAGCACAGACTCCCTTTGGTAGTAAGTCTGTATTCAATATAACATGCACAAGGTCTCACCACAAGCTACAGTTCACAGCTGTGCACTTCTTACAGTTTTTAAAAAACAGGAAATGCAGAGTGTTTTATTAATTTCTTGTCACAAACCTGTCCTGGTATGTGAGACAGTCTTTGAAAAAAGATTTTAATTATATTTTTCTCTGTTGAAATGCTGAGATGCAAAATCTGCAGTCTAGTTTCTGCAGTAGTTCTAGTCACACTACTAAATGCAGTGTGGTGTAGAAACAGAAGGGCAGGCATGCTGCTGCAGATATAGGTAATGAGCTGCAAAAAACAACTTAGCTCATCATAGATATTTGTTCTTGCTTCTGCTTACTACTAATGCACCCCTGAACTACCACCAGGGTTGGAGCTGTCCTGAAAGTGCCCCTATCTTTATATTAATTATATACTGTTAAATCTCAGCTGCCATCAGCTGTGAGTAGCTGGTCCTGGAATATGCCTGTGGGTTCCTTGTTGAGAGAGTTTTATGCTAAGATGAACACAAAATAATCATGACATGTTGTATTTTACTAATAGGGTAACTCTGTTGGTAGTAGCTGTATCACAATATTATTTGTCATTTAATACATCTCCCAGCACCACAGTTCTCCTCCACCCCTCCTAAACTACTGGCAGTGGTCCTCTACCCTAGCTCCCACATTTCTCTGGAATGTTTTACTCATTCTTGAAATGCTCCATTAGTAATATGAAAACATTGTTCAAAATTTAATTTAGAATGTTTCATACTTGTGAAATAAATAAGGTATGCCCACCTTTGAGTGGGAAAATCTGACAAGCAAACAAATTCCACAAAATACTGCATATAGTAGAAAGGCATCAGTTTGGAACTTATTTTCTAGCCAGCAGTGATACACTGTTCTTTGTATGACCTGATTTATGCTTAATTTGAAAACTAATTTGCAGGTTAAGTCCAGGGATAAAGGAAAGAGAACATTGTCCATTAGTGACTGAAAGACTTGCACTTCATTCTGTCCTAGAGTAGCTTTGAATTTCTCTGGTCGTTCTAGACCTTTGGCTGAGCTCCATGTACAACAGCCTTGGACTGGTGCTTGGGACATCTGTTAATCTATATATAGGATTCACACACTTGAACATGTAAACAGGTGATCTCCTAAATATATGAAATGGCATTGGGAACTCCAAGTACTTAGTTAAGCCAAAATGTATTTAGGAGTGAACTGAAATAATCCTTTTTGTCCTCCTCCCTGCCACAAAAATAAGCTGTGTTGGGGAAAAAAAAAGTACTTTATGGCTGATTATAACTTGTGCTTAATAAGTATGTATAGATATTCATAAATCCCAGGAACTACTTAGTGCTTATAAAAAAGGTCTTGAAAATTACTTTTTTCCCCTGTTCTTCAGTTTAATTCACTTGACAGTTGCTAATTTCTTGCTGAGAAGGGACATAGGGTTTAAAACTAAAAGGTGCATATAATGGGTGGAGAAAATGGGTAGTAGATGGTAACTAATAAAGAAATAAGATATCTTTAGAAAATTTGTAAGGGAGGCTGCAATCAGGAGGGGAATTTTAAGTCATTTGATGGAGTTTTTAGCAGTCTGACTGAGAGTAATTTTTAATAAATCTGGGAACAGCATGGAGACTTCAGAAGAGCAAAAGACCGATAACATTTTGCATCACTGCTGACAAAGGGTGAGTGAGTAAAGAGTGGCTCATCTGCTGTCAGTTCCAGGAAAAAAATGATGGAAAATTTGATCAAGAATTGAGGTGGTATAAGAATAGCAGTATAATCACGCTGGTCAGCTTTTCAGTTTGTGAGAACAGGTCTGCTCAAATGTGAATCTGTCATTTGGATAAGTGAAATTTGGTTGCTAGGGGTTTTGTCTAGGTGCAACAGACTTTTATAACATCTGTAACTTAGTAGCATAGTGTATTTTGGTTTTACGAAGTATATTTGAATTTAATGAAGTACTGCTTAATTGGATTAAGAACTGGTTGTAATCATAGAAAGCAGAAAAGTATTTCTGGTTGAGCTCAACCTGGTGCAGTCTGGAAACACATGCAAGAGGCTGTAACAGTGTGGACAGAACAAATACTAGTGGAGGAATAAATTGTGACATTGAAAAAAATAGTATAGATCATTTAGGCAAACAGACAGTTGAGCAAAATACAGGTGACAATACAGGTGTGCACCCAGGAGCAAAAAATGGCAGGCACACCTATGTGGGGGAGCTTTTAGCTGGAAATCCCTGGCTGAGAGGTAAAAGGGAACCAGTAGGTGTGGTTAGAAATGTGAGGGAAGGTAGATGCTTGTAGCAAGGAAGTGGCAGAAAGAGCTAACATACGGTACTAGATGCATGAGTAATAATGAGATTATCTGCTAGGGAGATGGACCTGATGCTATAGCTTTGGGCCTTGCCTGTATACAGTTAGTAAGATGTGCTAATTTAGGGTATGGATATATGGGCTCAGTAGGGTAAGTAGTGCCATGCAATGAGAGATTTAATGGGCTGCTCCTAACGAAGCAGAAATAAATCACTTAGTGGCAGTGTGCTGTTGGAAGGATGAAGTCCAACTCCCACCTTCAGTGCTGGTAAATACCGGGGTCCTGGTTGTTCCACTACAGCTCCTGGCTATGTGGTTATCCTCTTCAACTCGCTAGTGCAAAAACTGGTGCCTGTTTTGACTGGGCTGTGGTTTCTGTCAGTGAGTTCAGCCACTGGTCAGGGGGAATGGGAGGTGATGGGGAGAGTGAGAGATTTGACACTGTCCCTCTCAGCAAGGTGTTAGATCAAGATTTGGGTTTTGATAACCTCAAATGGAATCCAGCAAATGAGAAGCTCTGTGAGCAGGCGGGCTGTGAGCTGTGCTAGCCCTCACACTAGCACAGGAGTCGGAGTGCGATCTCATGCTGGGTGGGAGGAAGAGTCTGGAACTACCACTTCTGTTTGCAGTTTCACAGCCAAATGAAGGGCCTGTTCCTTCCCCTCTCTGTTCCCTCCTCCTCCTTCTGGCTCTTGGCTGATCCCACACAGCATTGCCATGGTGCTCTGTACATCCTCCTCCCCTCTCTCACTTCCATGTACTAAAAGAAAGTAGTTTCCTGCTCAGAATGCATATATTAAGAAATCATAGTTTGTCTTGAGAAACAGAAGAGAGGTAACTTGTTTGCACACTGTGTGCACAGAGATATTTCCACTGGTAGGAGGTACTTGTCTCACTGTCATGAACAGTTTCAGAGAAAGGTACATCAAGAGTCAATGGATATGGAAGCCAGAAAAATCCAAGAAGAAAATTAAGTGTGATTTAAGTGAGGATGATTAGGTGCTACGGAATCAACCATAGAAAGGAAGGGATGGATCTCTGTTTTTATACATATGAAGGCCAGAACCCATATTGAATGATGTATCTTAATCAAATGCAAACTGCAGATAGGAGGTTGAAAGAAACAGGTAAAATGTGATGATATCTGTAAGTAGAAAAAATACCATTTTCTTAAATTTTTTGATCTCTACTTTAGGGAGTGTACAATATGAATTTGGATGTAATGTATGAAATTAATGTATTGGACAAACAAAGTACTTAAGAAAGGAGACATAAGGGTTATAATGAGATCGTGTAGTTAGATTGTAGAGCAGTTTTGCTCTGTAGTGGTTCCACTACATTTGTGTGGACTTTCATTATGTGGACTGTAAAAAAGGCATAAGAGAAATTCAAATTAAAACAGGGGAGATGAGATGCATTGCCATTCATTTTATAATATTTTATGTTGAGCCTGCTTAGGAGTTTGGGCTTGATTGCAAATGGGATTCAGTGATACTCAGGTTGTCCTATTTTGAGACATGTGTGACTACACATTCATATGAATTTTTTCTTCAATTTTGAAAGGTTGCTTTCATATGGAAGGTGTCTGACTGTAAGAACAATCTAGAATGTTGCTTTGATTGTATAGTTTAAAGGGAAGCTGCTGTTATAATCTAAATGTTGAATTTATTACTATTCCAGGGATTTGCACTAAAAGAAACCCCAGCCAATTGCATTTCACACAGGTCATGAATATGTTCTGTTGTGCTAAAATAAATAGGAAAAATTCTAGTGATAAGGGGATTCCTTTTGTAGTAGGACACTTCTAGATGTATCCATGGTATTTCACAAGACATTTCTGAAGGTGAATTTCTGAGCTGAGGAAGGAAATCAGCCTTGTAATTTAGAGTAACGACCAACAATTTTGACATATCGTTTAATCTGCACATAGTAATTAGAGTTTTCAGGAGTCATTAGCAGCTGGGGTGTCACTCTGTGTTTATTGGAGGACTGTCAGCTGGTGTTTCTCTTTGTTTGTTTTTTAATATTAATGGTTTAGAAGGCAGTTGGTGCTCTAGAAAGAACTGAGAAACAGGCCTGGCTTTGTGGATTTTTATCACCCTGCCAAGACCCTGCGCAACTTCCTCTCCCCCTGGCTGCAGCAGCCTACGGAAACCTGACTGCTGGGGGCCACTTCTGCAATTGCAGCAGGGCAGGGCAGCAGGGTGGGAGGGGGGGTGTTTTCCTTCTGTTGCTCACCAGTGCCTTGGCATCCAAAGAAGAAAACAAGATGCATTTGAAAATGTCTCTTCAGTTGTTTCTTGCACTGATGGGTTTCCTTCTTTCCCTTCTCTCTGCTGTCGTGCAGTGCTGCAGTTGAAGCTCCAGCAACGACGCACGCGGGAAGAGTTGGTGAGCCAAGGGATCATGCCGCGTAAGTACCACTTCAGTTCTTTGCCCTGGTGGTTTTATGCATGTTTTTTTGGTGGAGAATGGTTTCCCATATGATTTGAAAGGTCAGGTTCTCTGCTTCTGCATGGAAAACATCGTGTGTGAGAGCCCCACCCTGTCCCACCCAGCCTGGTCCTTCTGAAGTGTTGGTGCCACCTCCGATACTGAGGAAGAGGGCAATGGCTGCAAGTGTAACTGTACTGCAAAATAAGGCTTGTGTTTCATCTCAATGCACAATCTGCTGGAGAACATACTATGATAGATGTGCCTTATACTTAACCCATGCCGGTAATCACTCTTGTAACAGGCTTCCTGCCTCTGCAGTTTCTGTTCTTAGAGTGTGGCAACTCCCCAGACCTCTGAGGCACTTGTAACTTTGTGTGTACATATTCCATAAACTGACCAAAACCAGGCATGGTGTACAAGATGTTAACCAACAAGGGACCCTCTTTTATGTTTGTAGCTATAAACCAGCTAGAATGAGCCCTGTGGGGATCAGCCATTGCCTTTCTTGCAGGGAAAGGTAAAATCTATGCAGGCAGAGAACGTGTACTTTTCTGGGTAAACAGAGAGGATCTACCCTAAAGCCAAGCTTTCAGTGTCAGATTAGCATTGGAGAAGGTATTTTTCTGTTTTGCTCCCCTCCTTCCCCCAAAAATGCAAAAAAGGTGTCTTACAAATAGTTTTGTCATGCTTTGGTACCTCTGAACTAGATGACTTATAGGTAGCAATTTGAAGCAAGACCACACAGCAAATGTGTTGTTTTTGAGGTCCTCTCAGTTTCACGCAACAGCTGTAGCACAATGCAGTGGATCAGATACATATTTTCTTCTTTCAAAAGCTTTCCTGCTGCCTTGTTTCAGAAGCTTTACTTGAAGATGGTATAGTAATGAGGATTTTCTCATTTCTTCTGTTTCTTGGGTGCACACTGTAATATGACACAGTGCTGTGAATTAGACTTCGCTGAGGGCTGAAGGTTAGACTGTCAGCTCTCTGACTGAATGAACAGAACTTGACAGCAGCACTCTGTCAGCTGAAGTGGCTTGCAGAATGACAGTAATGTTCTTTAAGAGGTTTCTGGGACCCCTGCTTAAAATTGTCTTACCAAAGCAAAAAGAAAAGATTGTCCTGTCTGGATATATCATACTTGTTGTCTGTTTTTTAATCTGAGGAGCTTGTATATGAGCATCTACAGAATAGACTTACTTGCTTTTGGATGAAAGACTAGTGTCCCAGTGACTGCCTTTTCACTAATGCTTCTCAGAAGAACATGTTCCTGACTTCTTTGTGGTGTCCTGCTTTAGGTGGATATGTATGCAAATACTTTATTAACTTGTGTTCAGTACTGGCTTTCTTCAAAGTGTGCCTGGCCAAACTTGTGATTCCTGAGAGGGGTCTGTTTTACAGGCCTTTTGAAAATGAGGCCCTTGCAAGTAATTCAAGTAAGGCATCCAGAATAATTAGTGAGTCTTAAATTTATTTAAAGCATAGTCTAAATTACTAGTCTTTGCAGATTTGTGCTCTTAATAGCTTCATTTTTATCTCTTACATGTGAGTTTTGTGATGGACCAAAGAAAAGCACTTTGTGAAAATATTGGCAACACATTAAAAGGTCCTTTCTGCAGTGGAGAAAACCCACTTTAACACACATGATTTGAAATTAGTTTCTCCCAAGTAATGGTATCATTTACCCATACCTGCCAGCTAGAAATAACCACACATAGGGAAATGTTTAAAATGTAATTTGTCTGGGCAGTTTTTGAAGAGAAGATCAGATGTGAGATAAATTGTGAATGTAAAAAAAAAAAAAAATTCCCATTTTTAGCCTGAGAAGTACAGAGGATGACTAGGGACTGTGTTCCTTCAGAAAGCATCTCAGCACCACGACAACTCTACATCTACTTTCCGGAGTTCCAGAATAGACTTTTTTTTCACTGCTGAGAATATGCAAGTATCCTGTATTCTTTCTTCCTTTCTTCTCTCTGGCCTGTACCTCTTGTCTGTGAAAACATTGAGGTACTTCATCTTGTTCTGCTGTCATCTGCTGCTGGACATGGCTGTGCTGAACTTTTGTGTCCCTCTCAAGTTTGTTAGCCAAGAACCAAGCCCCACATGGTCCTTCATGATGATTCAACAAAAGTATGAAAGTTGGAATCCAGAGGATGCTTTGGTGCTGAACTAAAAGAGCTGGAGTGCTCTTTCCATGTCAGATGCTGGTTGGCTTCTTTTCTTTCTTTTATTTTCCATCTGGAGAGTCTTAACACTCTTGAGAGAACTGTGATGGTTGCAGTTCTATCTGCATTACTGTTTGTATCAGGAATGTGTTTTTGAAGTAAAGCCCCTGATTGCACCTGCCTGCTGTGCCTTGCTTTGCACCATAAAATGAAGTTTGAGAGCTGGATTAAGTTGGAATGAAAGTAAAGTGGAAAATATTCTGCCTAGAGCTAATATGCATTCAGCCCATGGGAGCAGACTACAGCTTGTCTGTTACCTTTTCACGTCCAGAGTGGGGATGTCACTTCCTCAGCATGGACTTTGTTTCTGTTTTGGTCTTACTGTGCTTTCTTACGTGTTCCTTTGGATTAGCCTGTGATACATATCAGTTCCTGTATATCTTGAGGCAAAGAGCCATGGAAAAATCCCTGAGGCAAGTGTGGGAGAAGTGAAAGGTTGTGTTTTACATTCCAAGCTATGGTACTGTGCAAACTCCCATTGATACCTTTGGTTCTCTTGACTGAATCTAAACCCCACATAAGATTTATTCTGCAAATTGGTGCCCTAAAAGAGAAATTTCATTGCAGGCTTCTATCAACACAAGGTTTTTGGACACTGTAAGTATGAGGAGTGGGAGCTGACACCTTGTGTCACCTTAAACTAAGAGCTCATGAGAGTTATGCTACTCCTGCTGTGCTTGTTCATAACAGAACTGTGAATTGCTTACTTTGTCCGATGTGGAATTTTGTTTATATGGTAGAGTGGAAAGGCAAATGTTTCAACATTTTTTTACCAAGTACACTTAATCTCATTTAACCTTCCCAACCCACCAGCCACCTACAGTGGGTCTTTGCTCCACTGAAAGATTAGTGTATTGTAGTAAGAAATAAAGCATTTATAGGCAGTGAAAGAGGATTCAAAATAATTGTGTTTTGTGCTTCATTAATTCTTCTTGCTTTCTGTTACCACTTTTTGTAACCTTTTATTAGTAGCAGGATTCATTAGTTCAAGATTAAAAGTCTCAATTGCCCTTAAAAAATGGTGGGAAGCAAGTTTTCACCTGCAGCTGATATATCTGTGATCTGAGTTAGAATGATGGTATCTTGAAAAAAGGAAAGCTGGATTTTTATATTTATTCAGGTTTTGGTCTATTTTTTAACAGTGAAAATAGACAAGCCTTTTTGCTATTTGCATTTTTTTGTAGCTGAGAGATGATTTTCATCTTCTTGTCCTCACAAAATACAAGTTATACAAAATCTGCTGTCTGTGCTCAAGTCTTTGAACTCTGTTGTGCTGTACAAGAACAGTCAGATGCTGTCATTTTTTAGTGTCGAATTTAAAGGTTATGGCTATTGTAAGGTTTTTGGGGGGAATATTAAACACCCCATTTTTCAGTCTTGAAAACAGTGTTTAAAACAGTAGCTAATGCACAAATGAGTAGAAAGTTATGTGAAAAGTATCTTCAGCTAAAACAGCAAAAAAATTTAGGGGAAAGACATTTGGCAAATGTAGCAATACTCTGTTATGCAAAATATGTGGCTCTTTTTCTCTTTTGCAAGATTTAAAGCTTTACATGCCATTTGTTTTATCCATTAGGATTGTGATCTTTGCCTTCTGGCTGCAAACACTAAACACAGGCAAGAATGCAAGGTTGTCATATGGCACAATCCTGCAGGAAAGCTGTTTTGACCATCACATCTATCCAAGCAGGCAAAGCAGAAGTAGATAATTTCTGGGAATGTGCCTTGTGTTTCTCTGTAATAGTGCTGTGTGAGTCTCTGAAAAATGGCACAAGTGTCCTTTGAAAAGGGCATCACCTGCACTGGAAGCTAGAAGGAGGATGCTGTACAGGCTGAGAATTTCCAGGAGCTTCTTTTTCACTTCAGTGTATCTGATGTTTGCCAGTTTTTGTGCCCACATCCAACTCCTCTGTATGTTTGTGTTCTGGGATGCAGAACAAGTGGCTGTCTGTAGATCCAAAGAAGATGGAATTTGTGCTTGGAGATTCGAATGGGACTGCTTTAACAGGTGCTGAGGTGTTTCCATGCCCTAGGTCTGTGCTACCAGCACTCTGATGCAGTTTTTGCTGGGATGTGTAGCCTGCTGGATGCTCGAGCTTATTTCAGAATACAAGAGTGTATTTTATCCTCAGACTCCATGAGGGGAGCTTGCCAAGGTTCAATTCCAACATGTCACATGATTAGAAATGACTGTAATACAGCAGGCAGTCTAATGATTATCATCTCATTAGGCCTTTCATGTCACTTGCTGCATTTTTTATTAGCAGTGGGATTTGTGGACAAAATGTAATGTTTGTTATAAAACTAAAATGCAGTATTTGCATTTTTGGAGTCTGTGAGACATTGCTTGGAATGAATTTTGAAGGAATTGGTATTTACTGGAGACAGCTGGCGATTTAAGAGTGCAGAACACAGGTGATGCTTTGGCATGTCAGTGTTGATCATCATCTAGATGAAGTTTGTAGTAACTGGTCTTCTGCATCCAGCACAGATACCATCACACAAACCTAAGGATCTTTGAGATACTGAATTTGGGAAGCAAACTGCTTGCCACATGTGAGTTTCTAAGGTTAAATCATGTCTCTAGACCTCAACATCTCAACCCCAAGATTTGGCCATACATCCACACTTGTGTTTGTGTAGGGTAGCTAAAAATGCTTTTTCTGCTTTAGCCTTTGCCTGATAGTCTAACAGCTTCTCAGTTTAGAAAAAAAAATTTTTTAAATATTTAAAAATTATGCACTTCTAG